GACCTACAGATTAATGGAACACAATATATATAGAGAAAAAATCCCTTATATTTATGGCCAGTTGATTTTCACAAAGGTGCCAAGGTAATATAATGGAGAATTACCAGTCTTTTCAACAACTAATGCTGGGGCAATTGGATATCTATAAGCAAAAACAAAATCCAAACAACTCTAAGCCTTGCCTCACACCATGTTTAATAATGTTGTAGTCTGGGTATTTGTTTCCACCTAAAATTCGTACCTTGACATTCTAAGCCCCCAGGTGATGGTATTAGATGGCAGGGCCTTTTGGGAGAGTAGAGCCCTCAAAAATACTGCCCTTATAAAAGATGTCCCAAAGAGCTGCCTTGTTCTCCTGCCATGTGAGGACACAGATAAAAGGCACCATCTAGAAACTAGAAAGCAACTCTCACCACACTCCATATCTGTCTGTGCCTGGATCTTCAGCTTCCCAGAATCTACAACTGTGAGAAATAAATCTCTGTTGTTTATATACTACAGTCTATGAACTTTACTGTAGCAACCCAAATGAACTAAGACAAATAAGTAACTCAAAATGGACCACAGACCTAAATGTAAGAACTAAAACTAGACTTCTAGAAAAAAGCTCAAGAGAAAATCTTTGAGAAACTTGGGTTAGGCCATAATCTCTTAGGACAACCAAAAGCACAATTCATCCACAAAAATAAATATAAACTGGACTTCATCAAAATTTTAAAATGCATGCTCTTCAAAAGGTACTGTAAGGAAACAAAGAGATAAACCCCAGAGTAAGAGAAAAAAGCTCCATAACTCTGATAAAGGAATTGTGTCAGAATATGTAAAGAACCTTTATAACTCAATACTTATACAACAAACAATTTTTTTTTTATGGTACCAGGATTTGAGCTCAGGGCTTTGCACTTGCTAGGCAAGTGCTCTAGCACTTGAGCCACGCCTCCAGCAAAAGATTTCACAGCAAATGTCAGACAGCTTGGTCTTTTGCCAGGGGGCAGAGGGGAGAGGGGTGGTACTACGGTTTGAACTCAGGACCTTGCACTTACAAAGCAAGTACTCTACCACTAGAGCTACATCACCAGCCTTTTTTTTTTTTTAAATTTTGGTTGTACTGAGATTTGACTCAGGGACTTGCTAGGAAGGCACTCTACCACTGGAGCTACACCCCCAGTTCCAGTCTTTTACTTTAGGTTATTTTTCAGATAGGGTTTCAAATTTTTTGCTCAGGTTGGCCTTGGAGCACAATCCTATCTATGCCTCCTGCATAGCTGGATTTACAGGTATGCACCACCACACCAAGTTTGTTTTTTTGAGATAGGGATCTCACTAACTTTTTGCCTGGGCTGGCCTCAAATCACAATCCACCTGATCTCTGCCTCCCGAGTAGTTGAGATAATAGGCTTATCACAGTTTTGAAATTGCCTAACAGTACATGAAAAAATGTTAGCATCACTGAAACCATGATGAGATACCACTATACATGTACTAGAATGGTTATAATCCAAAAAATCCTGACAATATCAAGTTTTGACAAGGATGTGGAGAAATTAGTGAGGAATGTAAAATGGTAACATTGCTTACTAACAGTTTGGTAGTTACTTGAAAAGCTTACCATGTACCTACCATGTTCAGCACAGCACCATGATCCAGCAATTACATTCCTAGGTATCTACTGAAGAGAAATGATGGTTTCCAACTGGAAACCATCCAGATGTACACCAAATCATGTGTGAACACATAAACCATGACACTAATAGTATCTATGAATACTAACAGTATTCAAGAGAATACTATTCGACAAAAAAGGAAAAAAACTATATATACATACTATAATACAGATGAACCTCTAAAACATTATGCTAAATGAAGGATGCTGTATATAAAAGACCATAAATTATGTGATTCTGTTTATACAAAAATCTCTGGAACAGGCAAGCCAACAGAGGCAGAACTCAAAGAGTCATTTCCTAAATGTGGGGCGTGAGCTGGGAATTGACTCCAAGGAAGCACAAGAGAACTCTTTGAGGTGAAGGAAAAATTCTAAAACTAGGGTGGAGTGCTGGCATAAATTTATGAGAAATCATTGAATGGATGCTTATGATGTGTGATTTTTTTCATACTATATAAACTAAAAACTAACAAAGTTGTAAAAATGACAAAAACATATGTTTTTGAAAAACTACACATTTGGTGATCTTAAAACATATCACTATCTGGGTGTTTAAAAGAACATAGGCCCCCAGAAAACAGAAGAAATAAAGGAAAAAGAAGTAGAAGAAACAAAGAAAAGAGATAATTACACCAATTAATGAATAGAAAATAATGACAGAAAAGACAGGACCAACAAGGTCAAAATCTAATCCTTAGGAAAAACAACAAATGACTGGTCTGGCGAAAAAAGCAGAGAAGGCACAAATATAAGTAAGATCATGAATTAAAATAGAATAATTTTTAAAAACTGTGCTGGGGATCAAACCTAGGCCCTCACACATTGGGCAAGCGCTCTACCACTGAGCTGTATCTCTAGCTCATAGCATTTTTAAATGTTATACTCCAAGCTGGGCGTGGTGGTACATGCCTGTGATCCCAGCACTGTGGAGGCTAAGACAGAAGAATGGAGAGTTCAAGCCCAGCCTGGGCTATACAGTGAGATCCTGTCTCCAAAAAGACAAATAAGTTATACTATCTAAATTTTCATTCATACTTCACTAACAACAGGCATATGTTCTGAGAAGTTCATTAGTAGGCCATTTCATCATTATGCAAACGTCACAGATTGCAGTTACACAAGCTAAGACGGTTGCAATGACGTTCTAGGCGGTATTATCTTGTGTAACCCATCATATGTGCAGTCCAATGTTGACCAAAACGTTATTGTGGGACACATGACCACATGTAGATAAAATTATAAATTATTTGGTAACTAATCAAAACTGTAATTAACAAAAATTAACTAAGGGAAATCTATTGTCTTATATGGGGTAAAAAAAATGGAATCCATAATTAAATTTCTTTTTCAAAAATAAAACACCAGAACTCAGAACAAGTGAGTTTTACCGTAATCACTAGAGATAGATTATTGTAATCTTATATAAATACTTTCAAAAAATCCAAAGTGAGGAAACCTACCTCAATTCAGCATAAGAGAACAATAATAATCTCAATGATCAAATCAAGTAACTATAGTATAAGAAAGGTCAAGATTAAATCAAGTAACTGTAGTATAAGAAAGATCAAGATTATAAATGTAAATATTACAAACAATTATTAGCCTGCTAAATTTATCACATATATTATAAAGAGAATTTATTATAACCAAGTGAGGTTTACCTCAGAAACTCAAGAATAATTTAATCTTAGAAGTTTCTTCACAAGGTCATGAGTTCAAACTCCAGCACCACAAAAGGAGTCTCTTAATGTAATTCATGAAGTGCTTGATTAAAGGATAAAAAATATTATCTCAAGAGATGCAGAAGAAATAATGCTAAAAATTCTTACTAGTTTAGACACAGAAGGAAACTTCCTTAACCTGACTAAGGTTTTCTAACTTCAAACATAGCAAACATCATTATCATAGCAACCATTATTACCGAAAAACATTTCTTTAAATTTCCCCCACCATTACCATGCATTTTTATTCAATATTGTAGCAGAAATCCTAGCAAGTACAATAACATTAGCAAAAGATTCAAAAGACAACAAGGAAGGAAATAAATCACCAGGTATGATGGCTCATGCCTGTAAGCCCAGCTAGTTAGGAGGTGGAAATCAGGAGGATCCTGGTTTAAGCCCAGCCACGGCAAAAAATTTGGGAGACCTCAGTTCAACCAATGGCTGGGTGCGGTGGCTTGTGCCTGTCATCCAAGCTAGTGAGGAAGCACAAATGGGAGGATCATTGTCTAGGCTGGGCAGGGGAACAAGGCGAGACCCTATCTCAAAAATAACCAACGTAAAAAGGACTGGAAGTGTGGCTCAAGTGGTACAGCACCTGCCTAGCCCGGGGTTCAACTCCCCAGTACCACACACACACACACACACCCAAAAAAAATAAAGGGAAAGGAAATAAATCATTCATTAGTCACAGATGATATAATTTCCTACACTAAAATAGAATCTAAAATCCATTGGAATTAACAAAGTTTAGTTAGCCAGGTATTATAAGACCAACATAAAAAATCTACTTCATTTCTATATACTAGCAAAAATTAGAAAATAAGTTAGAGGGAGGAGCTGTAGCTCAGTGGTAGAGCCCTTGCCTAGCGTATGCAAGACCTTCAGTTAGATCCCCACCAATGCAAAAACCAAATAAGTGAATAAAAGTTAACATATGTCTCACACAAACACACACACACACACACACACACACACACACACACACACACACACACACAAGGATAGCTACAATCAAACCACTGGACAATAGCAAGCACTGAAGAGGAGGAAAATGGGAGTCCTCATGAATCACTGGTGGGAGTATAAAATGTTACAGCTGCTTTGGAATACAGTGTGGAAGTACGGTATACACTAAAGAGGAATGGATACATATATCCACATAAAAGCCTGTACATAAATGTTCACCGCAGCATTATTCATAATAGCCAAAAACTAGAAACAATCTAAAGGTCTATCAACTGATGAATGGATAAACAAAATATACTATATTCATATAATGGACTATTATTAAGCCATAGTAATAAAATACTTATACATGCTATGACATTATGCTCAGTGAAATAAGCCAGACACAAATGGCTACATATTTTATAGTTCTATTTATATGATGAAATGTCCCAAATGGGCAAATCATAGAGACAGAAAGTAGATTAGTGACTATAAACAGTTAAGGAGGATTAGCAGACAAGGACTAAATGAGAGAGAGAAAGACACATAAAAATTTACATAATTTGTCACTTTGAGAAGAAACCCCACTAAACACCAACATTTTAAATCACTGTAAAAATGCCTGCATTCCAAAATAATTAGGAATTTTTTTTTGTTAACAGGTGGTGGTACAAGTATCTTACAGGAAGCAGAAGTACGTTATATTTCTCGAAAATTTTGTAATTCTGAGAGTAGTTATGCAGGAGTAATTCCTAATACTTCATTTTGTGCAGGTGATGAAGATGGAGCATTTGATACTTGCAGGGTAAGATACTTTCTAAAGTCAGAAGGGAATCCGAACAAGGCCTTTGATTACTTTCTGGTGATTTTCATTATCAGTCCTAAACATACAAATATTTTTCTTCTTTTTTACCTACTTCAACAATCCAAATCTTGGTTCCTTATTCCTTGGGTTTTTACTATCCTGATGGCCAAATTTAGGAAAAATTTGTCTTAAATCTTTCCTTCTTTTTGATTATCACCTTTGAGCTATAATTTACCTACTTATAGTATACAATTCAATGTTTTTTTTTAGCATATTACAGAATTGTGCAACCATCAACACAATCTAATCTTAGGACATTTTTGTTGTCTCAAGAAACAATTCCCATTAAGAATTACTCCTTATTTTCTTCCAGTGCACCCCTAGCCACAGGCAACCACTAATCTATGTAGAGCTGCATATTCTGGACATTAACTGTTCTGGACCTTTCTGGAATAGTTCAATATGTGGTCTTTTATGATTGGCTTCTTTCACTTGCATTTTTGAAGGTTCATCCATATTGAGGAATGTACCAAACTTTATTCATTTTATTTCGAGATAACATACCATTGTATGGCTATATCACATTTTATCCATCCATTCATTAGTTGATGGTCATTTGGCCTGTTTTTACTCTTTGTCTATAACAAATAACATTGTTATGAACATTTGTGTTTGTTTTTATGTGTATATGTTTTTATTTCTCTTAGAAATCCCACCCTATAATTACTAAGTCAACACTTAATATTTTGAGGAACTGCCAAGTTGTATTCCATAGTGGCTATACCATTTTGTACTCCCACAAGCAATGTCCAAGCACTCTGGTTTCTCTACATCCTTGACAGTACTTGTTATTGGTTCTTCTTTATTACAGCCATCCTGTGAATTGGAAGTGGTTATCTCATGGCTTTATTTGCATTCCCTAATGACTAGTGATAAGCACCTTTGCATTTGCTTATTAGCCAATTTGTATATCTTTGAAGAATGTCATTTTGGATCCTTTCCCCATTTTTAAACTGAGTTTTTCTTTAATCATTGATAGTATTTTAAAAATATATTCTGGATATGTGTCCCCTACTACATATATAATGTGTGAATATTTTCCTCTATTTGGTCTGTCTTTTCAATTTTTTATGTTATCATTTGTATCATGTTTTAAATTTTTTATGAGGTCCAGCTTATCTATTTTTGTTTTGTCTCTTGTGGCCTTTTTTAAAAACCTTTTCCTTGCTGAAGATTGAATCCAGGGCCTTGCACATGCTAAGCAAACACTAGACCACTGAGCTATATCCCAGCCTCTTTTGTGCTTTTGACTCTAACCTTCTTTTATTTACTACTTTGAATCCACCAGTCCTATACTTTCAAGAGTAGTTTGTGCTCTCATCTTTTCCTACACTATTTCTACAGCATAAAGTTTGTTGTTGTTGTTGTTGTTGTTTACGGTACTGGGGCTTAAACTCAGTGCCTTCACCTTGAGCCACTCCACCAGCCCAATTTTTTGTGATAGAGTTTCTCAAGATAGAGTCTTGCAAACTATTTGCCTGGGCTGGCTTCAAACTGCGATCCTCCTGATCTCTGCCTCCTGAGTAGCTAGGATTACAGGCATGAGCCACCAGCACCCGGCTAGAGTGTAAAGTTTATCTTTCCTATGTCCTTACCCTTAAAAATCGTGATGAGTAAAACAGTAAAGAATCCAATCTAATTGAATTGCATTTCTAGACAAAACATCAAAAAGTAATTATTCAATGCCTGCCTAATGTAAAGAATTGTAACACTCAGAAACACAGTCCTTACCCTTTACATTAGTTCAGTGTCCTGTTGCTTTGAGTACCTTAACAATCCTTAGTAAGAGGTTTGGTTGCCTTAACAGTCTTGGTTTTTTTGTTTTGTTTTTAACATTTTTATTAGTATATAATAGTTGTACAGGAGGTTTCGTTGTGACATTTTCATATATGTGTACAATGTACCCCAGTTTGGTTCATCCCCTCCATATTCTCCTTCTTCCTCCTACTTAAAAAACTTTGACAGGTTTCAATGTGCCTTAACAGTCTTGTATAAGCAACAAAAGAGATTTGTTATTTGTAATACTATTTACTCTTCCATTTATTCTCATTTTCCTGCACTAGCCAATGTCAACCCTTGAAAAGATGCTCCACTTACTTTGTCTCTACCTAGTAAACCATGCACACACACCTAAAATTCTTCACGTCTTAAAATTATGTCTTTCGCACACAGTGGTAAGCAAAAGAAATATTCTAATGAACACTTTTTACAATATTTTGCATACTTCCTAAAATGTATTTCTCCAGAGTAATTGTATTTAAAAAGCCAAAGAATTTCATTTATGGTATTCTGGTTCAAAACTGTGCAGATGAATTATTCTACCAGCTATATGGTTGCTCCAAACATCTGGGCAGACTGAATTCTTCCTGTTTAAGATGGAATATTAAACTAAAAACCTACTGATCTTCTAAAACATTACATTAATGTGGTAAGGGAGAGCATTATAACTTATGTAGCCTGGGAGCCATTCTACCAAGACACTGTCTAGCTCCAGAACTTCCTACCCTACACTTCGTTCAGTTATTACAGTCTAGCTAGCTACTATCTGAGATAAAGATCTATGTTATCGCTGGAGGTATATAAAAAGTGAATACTTATCTAGATATATGCTTAATGTAATTCATTTTCCCCAGTTCTACTCTTGCTTAGAGAATACTAGAAGTAACTAATACTATTTTGGGACTTTTTTTAATAGGGTGATAGTGGTGGACCATTAATGTGCTACTTACCTGAATATAAAAGATTTTTTTTAATGGGAATTACCAGTTACGGACATGGCTGTGGTCGAAGACATTTTCCTGGTATCTATAGTGGGCCATCCTTCTTCCAAAAGTGGCTGACAGATCATTTCTCCCAGGCAAGCGCTACAAGCACATTTGATACAGATATTATACTTGGACAGATCCTCATAGCTTTAGGTTCTATCATCTTACTAGCAACAACATAAAGAAATTTTGAAGACTTCAGTATCTTTATTTTGCATTGTGTCCCCTTCTATATTCTACATAATGAAAATCATTTATTCTTTTTAGCTATTAATTGCTCACATGCGAACATTTTTTTGGAAAGAAAGGATTGTGACATATTAGATATACAATTGTAAATTTGGCACCGAATCATAAGCCTCCTTCATAGAACTTGACTGCTTTACTTTATAATAATTTTGTATTTGGAATATTTTCCTAGAGTCTGCATAAAATATTCAGTTAAATATGTACTTTATGTGTATAATTGCCAAATAATAAAGTTTATTATCAAAATGAAATTGTTCTTTGGTTAAATTAATTAAAACTCTTTCCTTTTAAGATAGAGTTTATTGTATTTATTTTTTATAATTTATTATCTATGATTTAAAAAAAATTAGAATCTGTTTCTAGTCCTTTAGGGTTTTTTCCTAATACTAGGATTTGAACTCAGGACCCTACATTGCTAGGCAGGTGCTCTACCCCTTGAGCCACACCCCTAGCCCTTGTTTTAATTCTTAAAGGATATTTGGAGAAATAACTGTTTATAATTTAACTTCTAATTAAGGCAATTTATTTTCTTCTAAAGTGATAAAAGCAGATTTTAATCAAGAACTATTGCAATAGGAGAAAAAGATTCTGAGCACAACACAGACAAGTGGAGATTTATCACCAAGAGCAGGGTGGGGAACCAGTGGATGGAAAATTACTAAGAAGAAACATCAGGGGAAGGGGGAGTCTAGGTAAACAAAACAAATGGATCCTGCAGAAATTTGGCCTGCATGATCCAATATCACTTGAGGGGGAGACAGGAATGAGGGATTTAATCGGCTATCTAAACCAATTTAGCAGGATTCTTGCTGCAGCTGGGTAATATAAGCCTAATAAGGTCATCCTCTGAAAGCTGAGGTATGGAGGGCTTAGAGGAGCCTGACTGGGGTTTGGTCTAGGAGAAAGTCTTTGTTAGTCCCTCCTCTTATTCGTGGTTAGAAGAAACATTCTTTTTGAATAATAAAAGTCTGTTTCACATTCAGTCTAATTTCTTATCCTTTTTATAAAATGCTGGATTTGATCTACTAATATTTTATTTAAGACTTTCGTGTCTCTGTTCATGAGGGATATTGGTCTGCAGTTTTCTGTTCTTGTAATATCTTTGGTTATTGGTATCATTGTAATGCTGGCTTTATTTAGAGAGTTGCTATTGAAGAATGCAACTAAAAGTTGGTTTTTGAAAAGGTAAACATCAACACACCCTGAACTATACTCAATTAAGTCAGAAATGAAAGAGGAGTCATTATAACTAATACCACAGAAGTTTAAAGAATCACAAGTATGTACTATGAATAATCATATGCCAACAAGCTGAAAAACTAGATAAATTTGGGCTGGGGATATAACTTAGTGCCTAGCATGCACAAGGCTCTGGGTTCAATTACCAGTACTACAAAAAAGAAAAGAAATAAATTCCTAGGCAAATACAACCTTCCAGGACTGAATCATATAGAAAATATGAACAGATCAATAGTAAAAATATTGAAGCAGTAATCAGAAGTCCCCCATCAAAGCAAAGCCCAGGAACTGACAGCTTCACAACAGGATCATACTAAACATTTAAAGAACAAGCCCATCCTTCTCAAACTCTTCCAAAAGATGAAGGGGAGGGAATGCTTCCAAACTCTTTTTATGAGACTGACACTACTCTGATGTCAAAATCAGGTAAGGACATTACAAGAAAAGAAATTTATGAGCCAGTATCTTTGATGAACACAGACGTACAAATCCTAAAATGGTCACCATGATCAAGTAGTATTTATCTCTGGGTGATAAGGATGGCTCAATATATGCAATGTAGCACATTAACAGAATGAAGGACAAAAAGCATATGATTATCTCATTAGAGGCAGAAAAGTATCTTACAAAATTAAAATCTAAAAATGAGTTAAAGACTTAAATATAAGACCAGAAATTGTAACACTACTAGAGGAAAACAAAACAACATTGAACTGGGCAATGTACTCATGGTTGAACACAGAGCCCCACATTCTAGGCAAGTGCTTTACTACTGAGCTCCACCCCCACCCCCTTTTATTTTTTGAGACAGGCTCTGGCTAAGTTGCCCAAGATGGCCTGGAACTTGTGATCCTCCTGCCTTGGCCTCCTAAGTAGCTGGTATTACAGGTGTATAACATGTAACACCTTTAACATGTCAGTCAAAAAGCACAGGCAATGAGACAGAGACTCAGTTCGGGGGAGAAATGTAACTGGATAATCTGTTATCTTTTCAATTAAAAATATACTTAAAATTTTAAAAACAAAAAAGCACAGGCAACAAAATCAAAAGATTTTCCATCCCAAAGAAAACAACACTGCAGAGTCAACCCACGGATTGCAAGAAAATATTTACAAATCAATAAGCAGTTTGTATCCAAAATATATTAGGAGCTCAAATAATTCATTAGCAAGAAGGAAATGTTAATGGGCAAGGGCTCTGAATAGACATGTCTAAAAAGAGAATATATGAAATATGTTTAACATTAATAATCATTAAGGAAATACAAATTGAGGATTCCAAGATGGCGGCTAGAGGGAGGAAGCAGAAAGTGTGCCTCCTACAGTGAAATCTTGGAGAAACGCTGGAGACACACCTTGCAGGCAAGGCCACCAAGAAGAGGCAAAACTTTGACCCCTCCACACCTCCAGCCTGCACAGAGAATCTCCACTGCACGTTAAACAGAGAAACCAGGAGGGCCCCCGGGCCGCCAGTCACCGCGCCCAGACTGCTTGGGAAGATGCAGACAAGGTGAGCTAAGCGGTACACGGTACTTCCACAGACAACCCTGGGCCAGATCAGCATAGCCCCCTGGACAGACTGACCCCCACCCGGGGGAAAAAAAGAGAAACTGAGTAATAAGCAGTAAGAACAATAAACACACGTGGGCAAAGAGGGTGGGTGCACCCTGAGCTCCAAAGAGGGGGGGAGGGGAATCCTTCCCGGAACTGTAAATAAACAGGCCGGGCCTGGCCAGAGAGACTCCAGTGGGAGTGGGGGTGCGCGCCCAGCAACCAGGAGCGGGAAAGCTTATGAGAGTGGTGGAGGGAGAAAAACTCCACAGGAGAGGGGGGGAAGACCCACTTCCCACATGAGCCATAAACAAACACACTGGCCAGCAGGATCAGCAGCACACGTCCAGAAATCAGGAGTGGGAAAGCTTGAAAAAGAAAAGTGGCGGTGGGGGGAAAACTCCACAGGAGAGGGGGGAAGACCCACTTCCCATGTGAACTGTAAATAAACAGCAGGCTGAGAAACACGGTGCAGTGTCACCTCCCCCAGTGTGCTTGGAAAGGGGAAAGCTTGTAGCAGCAGCTCGCACACAGGAGAACTCTGAGTAAACAAAGCCTGCTGGGCCAGGTGAGTGCTAAGCTCACTCCTGAGATCTGCATAAATAAAGCCTCCAGCAACAGCAGGCTGACAGCAGCAGGCAGGTGAACCACAGCCTCAGATACCATTCTCAGACCTGTCTCCAGACTCTTTTTTTCTCTCTCCCTACCTTTGAAGAGAAAACAACCGAACTACATCTGCATGCTGAAAAACTTACTGAAACTGTATTGCATTTGAACTTGGGACACTTGGTGGGCTTTTTTTTTGTGTGTGTGTGTGCAGTTTTGTTCTACTTTATGTTCCCCTTTGATGAGACAACTACAGAACAACATCTGAGGCACCATCTCCAGGACTGCAGGCTGAGGGACAAACACCAAAATTATTAAGACTGAAATTTCATTGCATTTGAACTTGGAGGTTTTTATTTTTTATTTTGTTTTATTTTATTTTATATATTTTTTTCTTTCATTTACTTATTTTTTTTATTTTTCTTCTTATCTTTAATCTTTTTATTTTTTATTTTCAATCCTCTCTCTGTCTCTCTAATGCCGTTCAGCTTACTGTTGATTAGTACACTGTCTCTCCCTGTTATATCTTTGAAACTTTTTTGTTTCTTTGTTTTGTTTTTAGCTACTTGTTTGTTTTTCCCTTTTTCTTTAACTTCTTTGCTTTCCATCCCCTCACAACCTTCCATTCTAAATATCACTAGTGCTATTATTACAAGCCAGAAAATACTTAATTGCACACAGTACAGGGACAATAACAACACCAAGGGCAATGATGGGAAGACAGAAAAAAAGGGAAACCAGTTTCCCCACAGCAAAAAATTAGTACAGGAACCAGAGGGAAATGAAGAAAACAGATACTCAGATCCAGACTCCAACAAAATGAAGATAAACTATGCCAAAGAACCCAATGAAGCCCACAAGAATAATTTAAAAGAAGACATACTACAGGTACTCAATGAGAATTTTATAGAGATGATACTGGATAGGGTCAACCAAAATGTACAGGAGACACTCAAGAAATTCCAAGACAACAAAAATAGAGAATTTGAAAAAGCAAAAGAAGAAATAAAGGAAACCATAGAAGCACTGTATAAACACCAAAGTGAAACAGAGAACATGATTAATAAACAGATAAATGAACTCAGGACAAAAATAGACAACATTAAAGAGGAAACCAACCAGGATATGGAAAACCTCAGAAAAAAGAATGAAGCAGAATTGCAAAACAAAATGGAAGGCCAATCCAGCAGAATAGAACAAACAGAAGACAGAATCTCAGAACTCGAAGATGAAATGGTAATTAAAGAAAAACCAAAGACCTATTAATTAAACAATTCAAGACCTATGAAAAGAAAAGTCAAGAACTCACCAACTCCATCAAAAGACCAAACTTGAGAATCATGGGCATCGAAGAAGGAGAAGAGGTGCAAGCAAAGGGAATGCGTAATATATTCAACAAAATAATAACAGAAAATTTCCCAAATCTAGAGAAAGATATTCCCATACAGATGCAAGAGGCCTCCAGACACAAACAGACAAAAATAGAACTACCCACGACATATCATCATTAAAACAACAAGTTCAGAAACTAGGGAAA